ACCTCTTTTGAAACTATGGCAGTAGTAAATGTAATCGTCTGGTTATGGTGATTAACACTAAAACAACAACAAAGGGGCACTTGTACTTCGTGTATGTAGCATCGAAATCAAGCACGTCACCAAACAGTTCATAATTCTTTTGACTTTCACTATCGCTCCAAAATACATTTTGCATCGTTCCATCTGCACCTACCGTGTGTGCAACAAACATCAATGGATATTTAACACGAAGTTTTATAAGATACTTAACAACACCTTTAACATTAGAAGACATCTCTTTTCTTTGTCTTAAAATTTAATTATGTATCTCCTTCTTTGAAAATCCAACCTTATCATACCCCCTGGCAGTATTTGCAAATGCACCAATCATTTGAGTTACTTTGATTCCATCATTCCTAAAATTCTTAATTTGTATCTTATTTGACATACTAAGCTTCCTATTAGCTGTCAACAACATGCAATACTTATCATTTGACACTTCATGATTGTGCTTAAAGGTAAAAATTGTGACATACCAACAATGTGAAATTATATTAATATGCACCTGAAATTTTGCTCCACATCCACATTGGGTTTTGTGCTTCGGACCACGCTTGCGTTGCTCTACTCTATCTTGCCTAAATTTCAAGGCTATGAAAAAATGTTTGTTTAATAACATCTCCATCCTTATTTTAGATAACCTGACCTTTACGGACCGCAAAACCGCATCTTTGCAAACTAATAGTAAAATTTGTAAGCAATTTATAGATTTCCAAATTGCAGCTTCGAAACATCATCATTTTTCAAGTTAAACATGTTCATTCTTGCAATGTCATCAACATCGTCGACAACAAATGATTCGTCTGAAATTTAATATGAAAATATCAATTCATTTAAACTGTATAAACTCCATTCCAAACTTTTCCCATCACTTCCATCGTTGTTTGTATATGTATTCCAATATTCGTGCCCACCAACATCACCAAAACCGATATCATCATCGTATTCACCTCCATCAAATTCAATATCTTCACCCGCTTCTTCATCATCATATTCACCTCCATCAAATTCACCATCTTCATCCGCTTCTTCATTATCGTGTTCAACTTCTTCAAACTCAGAATCTTCATTAAGAATTGTGTTATCATATTCAACAATATCCAAGTATCAATCACTAACAACATTCAGTTCACTATCAACGTTAACACGACCATTCTCTTGTAAAATCTCATCGAGTGCTTCCTAAAAAAATATAAATAACTAAACCAATAAATCAACAACAAAATGGGTTATAACACTCTTAAAAAATTTCACTTACATAATTAGCTTGCATCACTTCATGCCCATCAACATCACCACCATCCATCTTCAATTCAATATCCCTGTGATTGACATCAAATATAACTATTTTCAATCATTTTTTAAACTCAAACTACAATAATTACAACAACGAAGAATATGGATCCATTTTTAACTCAAACTTAAAACTTACCTTTTCGATTCATAAAAAAAGAGCTTCAGATCCAGAAGAAATCAAAAGGGAAGAAATGAGGAAGAAATCATAAGGGAAGATTTGAGGACTGAAAATGGAAGAAACAAAGATGAAATAAATGATGATGAAATTCCTCTTCTCAAGTTGCAGATGGAGACACGAAACATGAAATCTGGAAATTACTCTTCTCAAGTTGGAGATAGAGAGACATGAAGATGATGTGAAGACATTCTACAGATAACAAGTGTACTATTAATTTGGAAAGGAAAAAAAAGTCTCTAAGAAGCCAACATTACATTATTTGTTCACTAAACACACTTATACTTATGATAGTAAATGTGAATATTATCTATTATTTGGATAATTTATTATTTAAGTAGTAGTAAGGTTTTTGGGCTGAAGCCCTATATGTCTGGAGATGATATTTTAACAATGAAGCTAGTTTATGATATATAAACAACAAAATAAAATCTAAACCAAACAATGTGGGACTTTAACATACATAATATGGTTGTAGGTTCTTGCCATTGCATTTAATTGGAGATGAGCTAAAGTTCTGAATTAAATACAATTCAAACTCAAGCTGTGATTTAAATGCCACTCATCATTATCTAAGAGCAACTTTAATACAGGGTTGTTAAATCAAAATTCTTTATAGTTTACGTTAATAATAAGGAATTTGCATTATAGTAGTGCTGACATGGCATATGGGATGCTCTAAAATTAGTTTACGTGCTCTACACAAGCAACGTACTCTAACTCATCATTTAACAAAAATAATACATTTTTATTAATTATTTAAAATAAATAATAGATTTTTATTAACCATTTAATACCATGTGGGGTCAAGTTTTGGTTTCTTATAGACAACCACCATTAAAGTAAAAACTACTCAAATCAACTATAAATTTTTTAAATCCTACAAATCACTTTGGACCCACAAAAAGTATCTTAGTTTACCCATTTAGTTTACTTCCACTAAAGATGCTCTAATGCCACTATTCTTCTTCTTGAGTATGACTTTGACTAGATATGTTGCAACCTCCATTAAATGGTGTGTGTCTCTATATACAAAAGTTATTGAATGTTTGACAAAAAAAAGTTACTGAAAATATAATAATCAACGCCGCCAAAAATTTATCCTGTAATAACAGTAATGGTATGTGGAATTGAGTTACTCGTTAGAAAATGTGTTAAGCAAGCACTAACACATCTGGAAAAAAAAATGCACTTACCAAGTTTGAAGAAGCATACCGAAAATAAACTTGATTATAGACGGACAACAACCCCTCAACATCTAATTATGATAAACTTATTAGAAAACAGGAAGTAACCATAAGAAAAATAAATATACTGGAAGTAAACATACCGCTCAACAATGATATACTAAGTAAACACAATCTTCAATATATAATTATGATAAACTTGATTATAAAACAGGAAGTAACTATAAGGAAAATGAATATCTAAGCATAATGAATGAAACAAATATATATCTTCTTTATAAGTTATAATGGTGTTAAAGGTATCAATTTAGATGAGTTTAAGATAGTGGTCTGTTGTTCTCAAAAGTACACTGCTGCACATATTAAAGCTGAAGCGTTCAAACATTTAAGATGAAGACCTGAGTAACTGATAAGACTGATTAATGTTTGGTGTTGAGGGAAAAATGAAGGTAATAAGCAAGTCCCACATGAAAGAGTTCTTCATGAAAAAACATTTCTTGTGTTTGTTGAGAATGAAAGAGTTTTTTCTTGTTGTGATATAATGTTAGTCCCACATTGGTGTTATTATAGTTATATTCACTACTTATATAGTTTATTCAAACAATATGTGTTGAAAATAAATTTCAGCTTAATAGACCTTAAGTCTAAAATAATTTATTTTAAAAATTTGTACTAATTAATAATTCATTTCAAAAAAATTAATATGATTAATTATAAATTTATATATAAAACAATATTAATTAATAAATAAGCCTAGATATAAATTCCATGTCTTTAAATTTTTTAAAATTAAAAAATATTAAATCAGAAGACCAAAAGTGGATTTAAATTTTTTTTTATTGTAATAAATAAAGAAAACCAACTAAAACCTTTTCTAACAAAAAAAACTAAAACCCTAAAATCAAGTAGCAGCTCCCTCAGTTCAAAGCTCTGGCCTAACAAGTTGGAGTCGCATTCCGATCTCAACGCAGCCGGAGTTTTCGTCAGCCGTCAGAAACAGTGAGTATCCCTTCCATCTTATGCTTTTCATTTCAACTCCGATTTTCCTTCTCTCTCCCTTACCGCGCGTGGATGCGAAAATGCAACGCACCGGTGAATTGCTTAAAACACTTCGCAACGTGATTCCGCGCTAAATCGTCGCATTTGATAATATAGGAAATATTGAAAAGTTAGGGGTTGTTAGTTATGGTGTAGAGATTATGATGAATTTGTATATGGTTGTGAATTGTGATATTTCAATTTTATATACATTTATATGTTTGATTTTTGCTGAACAATGTTTACATTGAATAGTTTCCAGGTTGTACGTGATCCGCAATTTGAATGTCTTTGTGGTAAACTTAGCATTGAAGGGTAGGTTCACCTTACGACATTTGTTCTTTGTTCTTCCTGTATTGTGTTTATTCTTGTTAAGAAAAGAAATTATGTAATTTTATTTCCAATTATCGTAAGAAAAGAAATTATGTAATTTTATTTCCAATTATCGTGACAAAGTTTGGGCATTTTCAGGATGGTTAAAGGCAATGTGATCTTGGTTGCATAATTGCATTTTCCATTTTCCATTTTCCATTATATTTTAGAGCATGTCTAGCCAAGTGCCATTCTTTCACTGTTTGTTTCTATATCAACTAGTTAAGAACCCGCACTTAAAGCAGTTATGTGACGAGCTCAAACACTCTAAAGGGTTTTGGATGGAAAAAAATGATTTTTGGAGTGTCCCTAGGGATTTGGTTTGGAGTGGGAAAAATCTCTGTGTAGAGAGTATAGTAATAGATGTATAAATGACTTGGTGAAAATGATTTTGAGAGGGAAAATGGAAAAAACATGTGTCAATGCAGGACTTTGTTTTGATAAACATTAAGTTGATTAAGATGCAAATTTCACATGAAAGTCATGTTGATATCGATAACAAAATTCCATGCCATAGATAATTATTTTTTATATACAGACTCATATCCAGCTCAAATGATATTGATCTTTCTGTATTCCTCTATTATTCATGCAATGTTTCTGTGGGAGTAGCATTTAGTATCTTCTTTCTAGGTGATGCTATAGATATTTCTTGATTTTTGCATTTGTTTTTTTAGTATATTTTGTTTGATTACTGCTAGATTGTGTAGGTGAACAATCAAATGCTAGTTTCTTTTTCTTATGTTGCTATTCTTTTTTTTTTTTGTTGCTACAAGGAAGTGCTTTTAACTTATCAGGATAGCGTCTCTTATTTCCTTTTATGGGGACTGTGTAGCACTAGTAATATGTTATGTAAGTATTTGGACTTGCAGGTTTACAAGGTGATATTGAAAATGATCTTCCGGCTGAAAGAGAGGTAGTTTCCTAGATTGTACATGTAGATTTCTTTATAGCTTATTTGTAACTATCAGTGTAGCTGAACTGTCATATGATTGCAAATAGTTGTACCTGAATGATACGCACTTTCTAAATAAGTTGAATATTTCATTGCTTATTTATTGTCCCCATTTTTTGAACTTCAACTATTTATTCATTGTGTGTCAAAAAAAACAAACTATTTATTCATTGTTGTGGAGACTGGAGGCACATACTAAATAGACAGTTAATTGACAGTAAAACTATTCACAGAGAGAAGAAAAATAATATTCTCATTTTAATTTGGTCCTGCTTGTATCTGTTTAACGCTAATCAAATTACTTGCTTGCCAAGGTGTTTAAATATATATCCTTACTTATTCCAAAAATCATGACTCCTTGCATACATACATTGAGGGATAGAATATTCTATTTCATTTTGGTGTCGATTTGCCTTTTGTTTGTGTTTTCTGAACTTTTTCTTTCATAAGATGCAAATTTTCTTGTTCTAAATTGCTTTGAAACTGGTTTACAAAATAACCAACTTTTTCCTAACGCTGTTTAAAAATGAACCTAAAATAATTTTTGGTTGCAATTAGGTTTGGTTTATTGACCATGCATACCCCTATTCGGAGGTGCCTGCAAGCGCTAACCCACGAATCACAACCAACATTATCTCTCTTCAAAGACCCATCGTCTATCCGCTCACTCTCTGTGACTGCTTTTCCTAATCACAACATTTCGTCACCCCTTCCCATTTTCACAAATTCCAAACCCACATCTGCTTTTGGACAATGGTATTACCCACGCTTTTTCTCTTCTTCCAAACAAGACGATCACATAAAAAAAGAAGATATACAGGAAGAAGTAGAAGATGAAGACGATAGTGATGACAGTGATTATGATGATGAAGAGGAAGATTATGAAGATGACGATGATAATGTTCCCGTATCAAGTAAGAAAAAGGTGTACACAGCAGAGGAAAAGGAAGCAGAAGCAACAGCTATTGGATACAAAGTGGTGGAGCCCCTACAAAAGGACGACCATGTTTTTAAGCCATATGAGCCCGCTTTTGCCGTTGTTCAGGTTCATTTCGCAAACTTTATTTGATTACATATATCAATGCTCCATTTTTTGTTTTGGTAATGAGGTTTGTCCCCTTCATTTGGTTTAGATTGGTTCTCATCAGTTTAAAGTGAGCAATGGGGACAGCATTTTCACAGAAAGATTGAAATTCTGTGAAGTGAATGACAAGGTGCGTAATCCTTTTGCTTGCCAATTATTTTGGCTGTTACTTGTGATGGAAAAGTATCAATCAGACTTGAAGTAAATATTTTATTGCAGTTTGTCTGACCTGGGACGTTGTATACTTGCATGATAGTGAGTGCTAATAAGCTCAATGTTGTATAGATGCCAAACTGGGATAATTTAGTGAGTAGATAAGATAAATAGGGACTGAATGCATTAGAGAGAAAATCAGGTGGCATGTATAGTGCAAATTATGGTAGAATCTTGTTTTAAGCTATTTGGAGATGTTTGGAGAAGGACTATTAAAGCCCTGCTAAGTAAGTTGGTTAAATTGAGGGGAATTACACAAAAATCTATGAGCCACACTATTAAGAAAGGCTTTAGATTTAAATGGTTTGCAATTAGACATGATTTACAATGTGATATCATGGGGTTATTTGATCCGTTTACCAATTCTATTGTCGTTGGTTTTGTACAAGTTGTTGCCTACAATTTTTGTATAGCTCTGTAAAATTTTCACCTAGTTTGATATACACCCTGTAATTGCACTATTGCAGCATATCTCTATTGATGCGAGTATGCTATTAATCTTATTGAATACTAACCAGTGACTTGTTTTTATGTAGTAATATTTTTTAAAATTTTCTTTTTGTTATGTAATCTATCAAGCCAGCTAATTGAATATTCCATTGCAATTTCTTGGCTCAACGCAGTTGATTCTGAATAAAGTTCTGTTGCTAGGATCTGCTAGTCAGACAATTGTTGGCAGACCCATAGTGCCGGATGCAGCTGTTCATGCTGTTGTTGAGGAGCATGTAAGTGTAGAATTATCAGTTTCAGATAAATTTGATATGCATTATCAGCCTTCTCATTTTGAAAATAGGAATGGGATTGCTTTAGAATAGAGTGGTGATTCTTCCTTCTGTTTGTTGTGTTATTTACTCTAGTTTGCATTTGTTTGTCTTTCTGGAATCATATTTGAAAGCTGTCAAAATTGCGACTAAATGACTTAATTTCCTCTTATTGAGAAAATTAAAGGAATCATATATTGAATAACTATACAATAATTTGTTTCTCTTTTCTTTTCTCTATTTATTCTAAAACAGAAACACATAACCCATAACTTCCAGTCTTCCACACATAACTGACATCAATAAAAATAACTACCCATAATTGCTCATCAATAAAAATAACTACCCATAATAAGAAGTCTATCCTTCAAACTAAGTAAAGAAAAGCTTGTTAGCTAGAGCCTTCAAACTTAGTAAAGTAAATCATTGACCTTCACTAATTTTTGTATTTTTTATGTTAAAAATTTATTTGTAATCTTCAGTGTATGTCTTTTTTTTTTCCTTCCAAAGCATAGATAGAAATATTATTTCCAAAATAATAAGTTCAAGAAAGAAAAGTGGTAGATCAAGCATGTATTCAATACCCACCAAGATAGAAGAACAACCAAAACTAAGATAAACAAACCATGTAAGCTCTTACATCTCAACATATTTTCCATGACCTTAATTACAATGTGGTGCATCCTAGGAAATTGAAGGAGCATTTTGGAGATACAAGAAAACACATGATCCTTGACTGTTCATGAACCTCAGTTAATCATAAAACAACACAGCATTAATTTTAGAGATACAAGAAAACGAATAATCCTTGACTATTCAGGAACCTCAGTTAATCATAAAACAACATGGCATTACCAATAAATTGTACAGTTAATTGCTTCCTATAATCTTGAGATTTTAAAGTGGAAACTTGTTTTCCTTGCTGACATGTTGAAAAAACATGTTGAGAGGCTAAGGTACTTTGCTTAATTGATGATTTTTTTATTGTCTTTTTGCCTTTTGTATTTAAGAAAAAGATGGAGTTTTGGAGTTTAGTATTTAAGAAATGTTTTTATTCTCTATGAGTGGTGGAAACATTTAATGTCAGGGATATGTTTGAAATAAACATTAAAATCTCGGTCTTAATGAATTTCATTTTTATCCCATAAAAAGAGAATACCAGTTTATTTCAACTTGTGTATCGGAAGGATTGATTTGAAGTGGAATTCTCATTCTTTCTATTTATACACTTGCTTGTTTACTTAATTTCCCTTCATTCCAGGCACTAGATGCGAAGGTAATTATTTTCAAGAAAAAGAGAAGGAAGAATTACCGAAGAACCAAAGGACATCGTCAGGTGTGTTGAAAAACAACTGTTTAATCTGGCATTGTTTTATCACAAAATTATTGATATTAATTCTTTTTGATGCACGGTTATCATTTTCAGGAATTGACCAAGCTAAGGATAACTAATATTGAAGGAGTTGAGAAACCTCAGCCCGAATTGGCTGAAAAGCCTTCAAAATCTGCTAAGAAAGAACAGGAAAAGGTTGCAGTTAGTGCTTAAGAACAATGTAACGGCTCGCGGTGGTAATTGCCGTCTTTATGCCTCAGAGTTTGACAGTTGGGCAGAGTATGAAATGTTTGTATTACTTAGAAGCTCCATTTTTATCTGCAAGTTCTCTGTAGATGGAAGTAGTCAGCTACTCAATAGTCAGGTTTTGTAGGAATGTCTTAAACAACAAAAAACCCTTTCTTTGTAATGCTGGATTTAGTGCTTTAGCATTTGAGCATAAATCCATTTATTGTTAAATAAATAGGTTTTCAAGGTCTCGAGATTTAGAATTTTATTCTTGGTTGCAAACATGAAACAATATCATGCACTATACCAATTTCTGACAGAAATGAAGGTAAGCAAATTCCATTAAGGAGAAAAAAATATCCTGATTCAATTTCTACATTGCAGACATCTTGATTCATATTATGAACAGTATACCCTATGTGGATGTGTTCTTTCACACCACTGAATCTTAGAGTCAAATTAGTGAGTGTAGTTAATTTAGTGATATAAAGCAATAACTATAAACTTAGTATAAGTTGCACTCCATTTTTCCCATTTTATCATCATTGTTCACATTCTGGCACTGTTCTTTGCCCCATTTAATATATTGATTTTTTCCACCATAATTATTTCAATTGGGTATTACTTCTCCCACCGGTGTGATGGCATCGAATGTAAACCTAAAATTGTCTATACGGAGGAGGCCATAACTTCAATACCTCCAACACCCCACTTCTCCAGCGCCATCACTTTCAATAATTAACACATTTGAAGTTAACAAAAACATCACCACTATTGCAAGGAAAGTTCTAATCTTGAATTCCATCAACTTATTTATTGAAAATCTTATATTTTGAATCACTTACAATAGTATGAATTGGTTTGGTTTGTGTTTGATTTGTTTATGGCATAAAAATGAGAGTGTTATTCACTTACGAAGGATGTGGTGTATATGATGTACGTCAAAAAAATTAACACTGAGAATGTAAGAATGAGAGAAGTAATACCCTTTCAATTACTCTGAGAATGTAAGAATGAGAGAAGTAATACCCTTTCAATTACTCACTAAGCTTAGTATAAGTTGCATTCCATTTTTTCCTGTTTCTTCTGATATCCCAATTCAATCCCTACCAGTATTATCAAAATTAGCATTTCAATAACCATAAAATAATTAATAGTACTCACACCTGACGATGTGTATTAGATTTAATTTATGCAAGTCAATATTAGTTGATATATATTCACTCATAACTAACCGAGCAAAGGTGGGTAGGGTGTAGAAAACAGGTGTTCAAACTAACTTAGGATATCTAAAGGTGCATTTCTTATAAGGATAGAAAAAATATTCTTTAGAATGATATTTCAAGAATTATTATTCTCAAAATATTACTTCTACTTATGTATTTGGTAGAAGTTTAAATCTTTTAAGAATAATAGTAAAACTTATTTAATTTAAAATTAAAATAATGATAAATATGAATGGTAGTGAGAAACTATAGTTGGTTGACCACCTTTTAAGTCTTGAAATAAAAATAAAAGAATAATCTATAAATAAGATTCTAGAAAATAAAAAATACATTAAAATAATTATTTAAAACTAGAATCAAACATGAGAACAGTGCATTACATAATATTTTTTCGAGAATATTTTTCTAACCTTAAAACAAACACGTTTTAAGATTCAAATTTCTTTCTATAGAAACAAAAACTTTTTCAAAAATATTATCGGACTTATCAATTAAACTCGGGTCAGAGGCTCATAAATACTTTGTATTATTAATGTGAGCCTTTTCAACCACCAAGGCATCATTCTAGAATAGTGGTGTTTAGTACATCCCATATAACGATCACACACCTATAAAAATTCAAAAATACCTTAACATCGGGAGATTGAAATTCGGACGCACCCATTTGATAACAAAATCATTTCATCAAAGAGACACCTCATTACCCCCTAAAAAAAATATATTCGAATTTTAATCTCCGGATAAACCTTATTAAAGTATAGATATCAATCTTCGAATGAATCTCACACCCTGGTTTGGGTCTGTGTTTCATCACAAGATGGTTAAAAATAGAGTGAATATAAATTTCAAAATTCAGACTAACCACAAGATAATATTCACACCCCTTGATAATATCTTAAAAATAATTTTTTCATTATTAATAAATCATACATTATAGTTAATTTATAAATCATGCTTGATCTGACCTGATCAGAAGGGGATCACGATATGGCCACTCGCTACTGGGCGACTACCTGTTCGCCGGCGATGAGAAGGAGGAGGGGGGGTGTACCTGCAAGACACTCCGATGCCAAAGTAAGAAGTTGGGCAGAGTGGAAGCAATAGTACAGAAAAGGGGCAAGAAGAGAGTTACTTGACCCTCTTGAGGAAGAGGGTATTTATAGAGAGACCCCAGCGCTGGGCCAACGGTCATTTGAGATGGGCTGGATGACCAGGCCCAACCCTAATGACTGCTAGGGCTTACGTGGCGTAGTGAAGACCAGGACGTGGTCTTCGCCCTAGTCCAACTGCTCCTAGATCTCCGGAAAGTGGGTTTGACCTGCTCTTTCGGAGGTGGGCAGTTGGTTGGTGACGTGTCCCCGCGGAGGGGAGCACGTGGAGAACGTGCACCGGGCACGTTGTTCTCCCCGCGGAGGGGAGCTCGGGAGGTTCCCCGGAAGCAGGTTGTTCTCCCCGCGGAGGGGAGGAACCCCGACCGTGCTTTGGTGAACCGAGCATGGTTCTGCTCGTCTGGTGTGGTGGATGGTGAAAGGTTGTTAGGGAGACCGCTTTGTGTTCGGCGGTGTGCCCTGCTCGTCCCGAGGGATGCACGTGCCCGACGTGCCTGATTCACCTGTTGGGCCGTACATGGTATTGGGCCTGCCGAGGTTGGGCCCATACCGGAACAGGAGCCCCTCAAGTCGAAGCTCTGGGCAGAGAGCGAGGACTTAAGGTCGCTGTATCTGGGACGGGCACTCGTGCGGGGATCTCCGGACATCGGCGGAGCGGGGAGAAAGCAGGTAAAGGGGCGCGACTGTCAGGTTGCCTCCACATGTCGCACGTTAAGCGGTCGTAGGAGCGGCTACCCTATGTCATTAATGAGCCTAGGGTCGCTTCGAATCCCGCGCCGGATTATAAATATGGGGTCCCCGCTCATTCTGCTACTTTTCACTCTGCCGTTGTGTCTGCTAAGCTTTATCATCTCTGCTCGTCCGCCGCTTGCCGTCGATCGCCGCCGCACCGTTCAATCTTTCCTTCCGTCCGCCGCCGTTACAAGTGAGTTCTTCTTTTCCCTCCCTTTTATTTCTGTCGTTTAATTGGAATGTGTGGTCGGGGCATGATGAATGCCCCGAGGAGGGACGCGAGATCCACCGTGTCTGGCAAGTTTTCTGATGAGTGTCCCGGGGAGGATAGGCTGGTTCCGATGAATGCCCCGAGGACGGGGGCTTTCTCCGATGAATGCCCCGAGGACGGGGGCTTTCTCCGATGAATGCCCCGAGGACAGGGGCTTTCTTCGATGAATGCCCCGGGGATAAGTGCCTTCTCCGATGGCTGTCCCGAGGGGGGATGGTGGGTCGGCCTTTGATCCCCCGAGGAGGGTAGACGAGGAGCGAGTGTTTGCTCGTCGCTTTCCGGCCTTTGTCGCCCTTTCACTTGACTTGCGGTGGAAGGGTGGATTTGATCCTGGCTATCGAATTCACCGTTGTCCTCTGCTTTCAGGTGTAGATGTCGGCTCTGGTGCCGGGGATAATGGTCGAAGACAATGAACCTGAGATTCCGGAGTATGACGATGAGCGTATTGCCCCGTCCGAGGAGTGGGCGGCCGAGGAGCCGCTTTCTACTCCTTCTTGTTTTATGGCCGATGCATCCGACGTGTACGCCACGGTTGAGGACACGCCTATAGGAGAGCCACAGCACTGGCAGGTGTACCGACCAAAAGAACATCACCGCATCTGCTCGCGATATGGGCGGCGGATGTTCCCGATGCATGAATTCTATTTTAAAGAAGCCCGACTCCGGTTACCGTTCTCCGCCTTTCATCTGGGGCTTTTTGACTGGTTGCGCCTTGCCCCGTCCCAACTGCACCCCAATGCCTTGGCTTTCATTCGGGCTTTCGAGGTGGTGTGTTTCTACCTCTCGGTGGAGCCGACGGTACCGTTATTTTTCCGCATCTTCCACCTGCAGCGGCAGACGGTGAATGGCCGCCACAGATGGGTTTCTTTTAAGCAATCGACCAAACTTTTCAAAGCGTATAGCGATTCTGTCAAAGATTTCAAGAACTGGTTCTATCTCGTCAAGCCGATCACGCAGCACGGCTCGGACACTCTCTTCGACGAGGGCGAGCGAACGGTAGATGGCCAGCGATTCCGCGCGTGGCTTCCTAAGATACATCTACTGTGGACTGCGGAGCATTTCAGCCGAGGGACGGATAAGTATATCGTCCGGGCGGGGACCCTCGAGGAGAAGGACATGGCCGCCTATTTGAAAATAGTTGCTTTTGTGCGGTCTCTCCCTCCGTCGAAGCTGGTGACGCCCGACGGTCGGTATATCCTTGACGCGCAGGGGAATGTACGCACCAAGAAGCGTTTGATAAATACTAAGACCCTGCTCGGCTGTGCGACCGGGGCGGCCACTCTGGATTACCTAGGTAGGAATGTTTGTTTTTCTCCCCGTGGTCGGGGCTTTTGACCGTCGCTAACTCTTTTCTTTGTTTTTGCAGCGAACATGTCTTCCGTCGAGGAGCGGGTGAAGCAGTTGCGTGCTACTAGGCATGCCGCGGCCCCGAGGACGAGGGTGAGCCAGCTGGTCGGACAGGAGGTCGCGATGCCGGGGGGGGGGGGGGGGGGGCAAAGTTCGTCCTCTTCGCCTCAAGAGAGCCAATCTCCTGCGTCTCAAGGAGCGTCGAAGAGGCAGAGGTCCGAGGAGCCCCGAGTGGTGGATCTGACGGTCGGCACCGCCGAGGAAGGTTATGTCGTCCCGCCCTGCCACCAGCATCCGGGA